AAATGTTAATAGCAGCAAGCTGCTCAGACCCACACTCATGTGCTTGCGCGTGCACACACACACACACACACACACACACACACACACACACACGCCCCCCCCCCCCCCCCCCCCCCCCGATGGTGAGCTGTACCTAGAACTGAACAGGAGGAGAGTGAGGGGATGGCCTTTGGGAGATACCCAAGCCCTCTTCTTGGAATGACGATCCGCCATCTTCTTAAGGCCAACATTTTCCTGGTGAAGCTGTGTGAATGCCTGTCTTGGAATCCCACAGTCTTTGAAGGTTTGAAGCTGAGGATCCTTCCACAAGGCACTGAAAAAGTACATAGTGGGCGTGTTACGAGGACATGCCATAAAGTCAAGTCACATTTAGATAGTGCTTTACGAATATTATCTCATTTTATCCTTACTATAACCCTGGGAGGCAGGTGTTAAAATTCTCTTCATTTTACAGATAAGGAAACTGAGACAGAGGTTAGATGACTTGCCCAGGGTCATACAACCAGGAGGTGTCTGGGGCCAGGTTTGAGCTCAGGACTTCCTGACTCCAGGCCCAGAGTTCAATCCACTGCACTGCCTAGCTACCTACAAAAATAGATGAACAGGGAAAAAAGGCTGGGTCTGTTCAATGAGGATTAAGTAATAGGCAGCTCCTGTATTCCACTGGTCCACCACGTCAAAATACCACAAGGAAGGCTCTTGGCATGTTGAGTGGGCTCTCTGCAGTGGGTTTATTGGAGCCACATGGGCATGGATGGGTTATCATCAGCATTATTGGAAGGATCATGGGAGCTTAGATTTAGAACTGGAAGAAACATTAAGGTCACCTCGTCCAATTCCTTATTTATCCTTGTATATATTTTGTTTGTCCACGTTTGCCTGCATGTTATCTCCCCATTGGATGTGAGCTCCTTTAGGAGAGGTGCCATACTTTCACCTTTCTTTGCATGCTCAGCCATTGGTATGGTGACCGCATGTAGTAGGCACATCACATCAAGTTGACTTGACTTATTGTCTTATGGATGGGGAAATTGAGACTCAGAGAAGAAGGGACTTACCCAGGGTCCCACAGGTGGTGGGCAGCAGAGCCAGGGTTGGGACCCATGTCCTGGGCTCCAAACCCACTTCTTTTTCTACTGTAACTTGTAGTACCATGTGTCCACACCAGTGAGGTTGCTGACCCAGTGTTTTACCCATAGTTCACAAAGTTCTTTTCCGTAACTTACCTTAGAGTAATAGCAGCTCCATATTTCCAAGTCTCATATCAAATGCCTATCTTTGGATTCCTCCTGCCTTTCTCCCTCCCCCCTCACTCCAATGAGGAGAAATAGAATGTGAAGGACTCATGACCAGATGGGATGAGTGAGCCGAAGAGAGCCCAGCTCCCCATCTTCAACATCTGGATGACAGCAATAGAATCACCAAATAAAGTGGGAGAAAAAAGTGACCCGGAGAGGAAAAATGACAGTGTAGAAAAAGGTTCTAGGTTAATTAAGTTAATGAGAAGCTAAAAACATGTTCTAACACCATGAATAAGTATTATGGAATGAAATAAACTGGAGAGAATTTCTCAGAAGAAGAAAATAAGGAAGGGACATTTTGCAAGGGCTCCAGACATAACCCTGGGTCTATCAGAAGGTACTTCAATGTGGAGAAATGAAGGTGGGTCTGACCCTTCTCTTAGGAGCATCATCGTAAAGTGGACAGAGAGCCAGCTTTGAAGCTGAGAAGAACTGAATTCTAATCCTGTCTCTTGACATTTAATTGACTGTATGACCTTGGGCTGGTCCCTCTGTCTTTCACATCTTTTAGCAACTGTCTCAGGCTCTTCTAGTAAAGGCATCCTGTGCTGGCAGAGGGAGCTTCCCCACCTGGGACTTCTCTGTGAAATCATGGGTCTAGGCTGTATCCCATAGACAGAGGTGGAATGGTCCTCAGAAATCATCTATTGTATTACACTCATTTTACAGATGAGGATACTGAGAACCAGGAGGGACCCATCCTCCTGATCTTGACAGCTATAAAGATGGCATTGAAATCTGTCAAGGAGGATCTAGAAAATGACTATAAGAACATAGAATTTGTCAGGAAGCTAGGTGTTACAGCGGATAGAACAGTGGACTTGGAATCAAGAAGACCTGAGTCCAAATCCAGCCTCAGACAATTATTAGCTGTGTGACCATGGGCAAGTCACTTATCCTCGGCCTCAATTTCCTCATCTATAAAATGGGAATAATAGCACTTACTTCCCAGGGTTGTTGTGAGGAGAAAATGGGACAATATATGAAAATTATATTGCAACCCTTAAAGCTCTATAGAAAAGTTTATTGATAGAGAATTTTAATACAGTGCTGGGCCTATCGAAGAGTAAAATTGGCCTAGTAGGGGACAGAGCAGACAAAATAATAGAGCAAATAGCAAAACAAAATCTGAAGTTAGCACTACTTGAAGAAGGCTTCAGATTGCTAGAAATTTACAGAATGGACTCAAAGTGTGGGCTTGGAAACTGAGGGGGCTGAGGGGCTGAGCATGAAGGGGCTTCCAGGAGAATGGGACGAAAATGAGAACCCGAAAGCTAGATTTCTGAAAATCATCCAAGAACATTACAAAGGACAAAGTGTGCATTGACACAGTAGCAAAACTGATGGCACCAAAGTATGTGCCCATTACCCGGAGAATGGGGTAACAAACTGTGGTGTGTGAATGTAATGGGATATTGCAAATGACAAATAGAAATTTAAGGAAATGGAGGCAGACTGAACTGATGAGGAAGGTCATAAGGAGACCCAAGAGAAACATATGTACAGTGACCACAGCAGCATAAAGGGAACGCTATTGAAAGCCCTGAGAACTCTGACCAGTCTTCTGTCTGGAGGACAGACATCGACCGGAACCTTCATCTTGGCAGGAAGCGATAGACTGTAGGTGCCCATGGTGGCACATATGAGCAGGTACGGCCAATACAAGGGTTTGGTTTGTGTAATTTTTATGTGAGCAGGAAGCTTCTTTTGGGAAGGATAGGAGGCGTCAATAGAAAGTGACAATGATTTTTTAAATAAATATCACCAAAACATTATTTAAAGATATTCTACCCCACAAGGTACTGATGGAAATTTATTCCAGGTTCAATTCACATAGAAATGTCAAATTACAAAATCTTAGCAGCAGAAATACAATTTTGCAAGCAGCCAGGGGGAAAAAAGAAAGCAAATAACAAAAATCTTCTCTCCCATCAAAAATTACCAACACAAATTGTGTCGAATTTTTTATACAAGTTGAGAAATGGGATTCCAGAAATATCTGGAATGGAGTATGTGAGGAATCAAGTGAAAAGACTTCGTCCTCCAATTCTAGGCATTCCGACAAAAGAAATACAGTCTCTGACACGCAGCTCAATCAAAGCAAGACCCTAGACTATGTGCGCTGAAAACAACGAATGAATGTGTTAATTAAAGTCTAATTCATCTTGAGCTAAAGGCATGCTGTTTGTTTCTTTGAGGTCCCATTTTGTTGGAAGGAGGTCAAGGTCATACTTGCAATGACTTGACTAGTGAACACCACCAGTTCCCATAAATGTGGAACAGAACCCACCAGACCGTAGGGGGATGGGGGGAGGTATACTTTGAGGGTGGGCAGCACAGATGAGTAATGACCGAAGCAAGCGTTCATTTAAATAATTCTTTGTCTTCCTCTTCCTATATTTAAAAGCTTATCCTTGTCAATGAAAATTAAGACATCATTGGTTAATGTAAAATGACCGTCTCTCAGACTCTCCCACTGATTTGCTGTATGGCTGTTCACTCGTTGTCTGAAAAATGGGCGGAGCAGGATGAAAGAGGCCCTGGTTGCTGATTCTTCGTAGAGGGAAGCCCTCTGGTCCTTCCTGGTCACGGGTAAGGAGAGCAGTCCGTGGGCTCCCGGGCTTCTGCAGCTGAGCCGCAGTGTCATTGTCTTGATCCGCTCCAGAGACACATCATTTGTCTTACTGAAGGGATGTCCTTTTCTGTTAACGTCTCTTGGGTGATGTGTTATGGAGGCAGTCCGGTCTGGAGCAGAGAGAGAAACTGCCCTTTGCTTTAGCATTTCAGCTTGATGACCCATCTGTGTGATGGGAGCAATCTGTGGTTTCGTTGGCCTGGGGAGTGCCTCGTGTGGGAATGCTCTCTGCAATCGGAGACAGCAGCCTGTTTGTGGAGTAGACGAGTGTTAAGGACTTGCTTGAGATGCATGGAAATGAGAAGGTTTTCACAGAGGGACACAAGTAATAAATGTCAAAGGCAGGATTTGAACGCAGGACTTCCTGACTCAAAGCCCAGCTTCCTTTCCACCACGTCAGGCTGTCCCTGAAAAATGTATTCTAGCAAATCTAGTACTGAGCACGGTGCCTGGCACGTAGTAAGCACCTCATAAATGTTGATCGATTGATTGATGAAGTGGAAAAACAAAATGCTGTTCCAATATGCCGGATGATTTTTGCTACTTTGAAGATTTAAGGCATTATGAAGTTGTATCTATGGGGGTTTTTAAACCTCATTTATTAAACTTTTAAATTTATTAAAACTAATTGTGAAGGACTTAAAGGTCATTTAGTCTGCCCATCTCATTTTACAGAGGAGGAAACTGAGGCTCAGACAGGAAAAATGACTTGCCAGGGGTCATACAGTAGGAAGTGGCAGAGTAGGATTTGAATCTGGATCTTCTGCTGGTTCCAAATCAGTTTTTCCCCCTGAACCACACTGCCTCCCATATTTGCATCAAATGCTGACATTTGGTAGTCAAGGCAAGTCGCAAAGGTGACCCTGTCTTACCTGCTACGGCCCGTCCTGTGAGACGTAACTGGATCGTTTTTCTTCTAATTGGCTCCTTTATCAAACCAGCCTCTGCCCCGGCCAGTTTTGTCAAGAGCGAGCCCCTGGGCTAGAAGGGGCAGGGTACTCGTGAGTTCTTCCTGGAGACCACAGCTTCTTGCTGTGAGGTCACCTCTTGGTTATCTCTTCCAGAAACTGTCCGGACAGCAGATAAACCCAATGCTGCGGATGTTTGGGCAGTCGATCTCCGGAGGCATCGATATGGATGGAAATGGTTATCCAGGTAAGGGCTGGCTGTCTTTCTGGGATTGTTTTCGGGAAGAAGATGAGCTAGCATAAGCACAGGATGTGGGTGAACTATTTCCAGGCCCTTCATCAATCATTTCCATCAACTCAGAGTGATGAGAATACCCAGCCTCAGAAGGTGGGGGCCTTGGCTTTTGCCCAAGAAATCGTGCAAGTCAGCGGGAGATTTGTAGGGTGCCGGTGGGACTCCACTGCTCATTCTGTGTTACCTCCCATAATTCTCCCATTTCTTGGGTCCTGTGTTAGTAGGGATGCAGAGGATCAGGGTGGTGAGGCAGTAGCTTTCACTGACAAATCCATTCCAGTACTGCCCCCCTCTCCTCTTTTTTTCCAATAAAGAAAAATGTCCCAGGGACAGCTGCAACAATAAATACTTGATGGACTTGTCCTTCCCCGAACTGGAATGAGGGGTACCTGAAGAGAAGCTTCTCAGTGTTAGGAAGGCAGATGTCTTCTGGGTAGCCAGTAGAGGGAAAACCAGATCCCGGCAAATACACAAACCAACCACCACTTCACCAAGGATGATAGTAGCTGGCACTTCTTGATGCCTCCAAGTTGGTAAAGGGCTTTACTGGCAATATGCCATGTGCAGCCCAACAACAACAATAGTAATAACTGGCTTTTATGTAATACTTAAGGTTTGCTAAAGCATGTCAGTCAGTAAGCATTTATTAAGCACCTACTAAGCACTGAGGCCACAAAGAAAGATTCCTGCTCTAACTGGGGAGAACATGTACAGACAGCTTTGCACAAAAGAGCTGGAGGCAGGGAGACACTAACGGACGGTGTCTGTTTGAGCCTTGTAACATGGCGCGATAGGAGGCCGGGTCTCTTGTCTCCAAGCTATTTCCACTAAGCTACGCTGCCTTTCAAAAGAGAATGTTAGCAATGAGAAATGTTAAGGAAAAAACCATAAAAGAAATGCCAAGAAAATCCATCTTATTGCCCCTTGAAAAGACAAAGCTCTCCTAGTAGAATATAAGCTTACTGAGGGCAGGGATTGTTTTCCCACTTTGATAGTGTATCTGATGTGTCCCGTGTAGGAGATGCTTAGTAACTATTTCCTGAGTGGAAGGATCTCTGCCTTAAGCCGTCCAGGGGTCCCCATTCAGATCAACCCAGCTGGTTGACTTATTTCTGCCTTTCGTGTTCCTTAGTTCTGTGTGGTGGTGGTTGAGACACTGCATTTGCTGGTTAATTGAATGATAAACTAACTGATGGGAATTAGTATCAGATGATTCAGGTGACCCCAAGAGGGTCACGGAATATGTGGGTGCTCTTCCGGGGAGGAAGAACCAATTGGGATTTGAGAAATGTCTTTTGTCCCCCCTCGTTTGCCCCTGACTTGACACGTGCTCTTGAGGAAGACTCCCTCTGTCTTCCTGTGCCTCAGTTTCCTCATCTGTAAGCATTTCTTTCCATGTTAAGTGCCTTCTGTGGAGGTTCTGGACATTTCTGAGAGCCAGTGTTCTAGCTCTGATTTTTCAGGGCCAGCTCTTCCATGAAACAGAGCCCTGCTCTAGGGGCACTGTTGATAACACACTGGCGCGTGAAGTCCGGAAGAGCTTGGTCTGAATCCCCACTCAGACACTTACCAACTGTATGATCTTGGGAGAGTCACTTGACCTCTGGGCCTCAGTTTACTCATCTGTAAAATGGAGTCACTGGGTGGCTGTCACACAGCTGGTTACTAGCGGAGCTGAGGTTAGATAAATCCTTTGTGTCACATGCACAACAGAAAGTAAAAATGAGCAAATCAGTGAATTGGGACAGAAGAGTTGGTGTGATATTTTAGATACTGAAATCACTTAATTGTAAATAGTTGTGAAGTAATAGCTAAAAAAGCAGCTCGCATTTATAATATGCCTTAAGGTTTGTGAAGCGTTTTACAAGTATTTTCTCATAGGATCCTCGCCTCAACCCAGTGATATGGAGGCTGCTGTTATCTCCATTTTATAGATGATAAACTGAAGCCCAGGTTAAGGGATTTGTCCAAGGTCACCACAGCTAGCAAGAGTCTGGGACAGGATTCTACCTCTGACCTTCCTGAGTGATGTCAGCACCAAGCTGCCCCTCCCTGTTTGACTGATTGATATTTTAGTTTAATATTAATTTTTATTTAGCCCCTCTAACACTCAATGTTAATAGCAACATTAAAATCAATCCTAAGGACATAAAACCTGAAGACACTTACACAGGGCCTGTATTTTGGGAACTTGTAGTGCTTTTAGGTGCCCAAAACATCTTTTCATCTTCATTCTTACTCCCACCAGGACATTGTGTAGCTTCGTTTTGAAGACTAGAAGTTGATAGATCGTAGGTTTGGAGCTGCCAAGAACCTGAGAGGTCATTTGGTCCAACCCCCTCCTTTTACAGAGGAGGAAACTGAGGCACAGAAGGATCCAGATGGAGTTAGCCACCTGGCTGTTGATAGGTCCCCCATCTTGGGAATGGCACCCCGGCTTGGTGTGGCAGTCATGGGGGTGGGGCGGGGCACCGGGAGAGAAGTCCTCCCGGCTCCTGCTTATGCATCAGCCTCCGTAGCTGAATTCTGAATGTTATGACATGCTCGTTTTCAGATGTCACCATTGGAGCCTTCATGTCGGACCATGTAGTGCTGCTGAGGTGAGAATGTGTTCTGACTTCCACAGTGCGTGCTTGCTTGTCCTCTCTGCTCGTCCCTGCCTGTGTTGGGGGGATGGGGCCCTTTTTGCACATGCATCCCTGTGTGAGTGAGAGTCGGATTTTGGGAGACATGGGGCTAAGCACCTGAGCCATATACTGACGCTGGCTCCTTCAGTCACCTCTTGACACGCCTTCTCATTTCCTCACCTCCAGCACAGAATCATCTCTCTTTTGCAATGACCTGGTTATTTTATTCCTCTTCTCAAAGCCTTCATTGGCTCCCTAGTACCATCTGAGTTAAGATTAAATTTGTTGCTGGCATTCAAGGCCCTCCATAATCTGGTGCCACCTTACTTTTCTAGCCTCATTTCATATTACCTATTCAATTTAATTTGGTAAACACTTATTAAGCACTTACTGCTTACCAGGCAATGGGCTAAGTGCTGGGGATAGAAAAAGAGGCAAAAGGTCCCTGCCCTCAAGGCACTTACAATTTAATGGGAAAGACAACATGTTAAGAAATAGCTACAAAGCAAGCTATATACAGGACAAATAGGAACTAATTAAAAGGAGGGGACGCTGGGATTAAGAGGGATTATGGGAAGCTTCCTGTAGATGGTGGGATTTTAGTTGAGATTTATCAACAGCTAGGGCATAGTGGGTAGAGTGCTGGGCCTGGAGTCAGGAAGACCTAGGTTCAGATGTGATCTGAGATACTTACCAGCTGTGTGACCCTGGGCAAGTCGCTTAACCCTGTTTGCCTCAGTTTCCCCATCTATAAAATGAGCTGGAGAAGGAAATGGCAAACCACTCCAGTATCTTTGCCAAGAAAATCCCAAATGGGGTCACAAGGAGTTGGGCATGAAATGACTGAACGACGACATTGACAATTAATATTACCACGTTTTACTCTAAGCACCAGCCAGACTGTTCCCTTTATTCCTTGAATGCATCATGCCCCTTTCCACCTTTGTCCACGTGGTTCCCTGTGCCTGGAGTTTCTTCTATTCCCCTGTCCACCCATTGGATTCCTTTGTGCAGTCGTTTCAGTCTTGTCCAACACTGTCTCTATGTGACTCTGCCTCTATCTCTGCCAGCCTACCTGTCTTTCCTGGGGCAGGGGGACCAGGCCCTGCCTTTCTGGCACCAGCCTTTCCAGACATTTCAGGTTGCCATGGATAGCAACCATCCTGTATGGTCTTACGTTGGCGGCAGAAACTCCACTTGTAAAAGTCTGAGGCAGCCCCTGTGGTCAGGCTTCCGTCCCTTGACTTTCCCTCCTCACTCTAAGACTCAGGCACTTTCCCTGGCTGCTGGGTTTTCTCTAGCTTTGTCTCTGTTGGCCATAAGAAGCCCAGGGTGCTTTGCTGCTGGAGCTGAGCCTGTATCCCAGCGCTAGCCTGGGGCGGGTTGTTTCCTTTATTATTAGCGTCAGAGGGACTGGTCGGTCAGCTGCCAGATGGCCAGTGTGCTGGCCTCGCTATCTGGATGAGGAGTAAGTGAAACAAACATCCTCATGAAGGATTCCTGGCCCAAAAACCACCCCTGGGCCTGGTCAGTGGCTGGCAGAGCTTCGGGGGGGGGAGCCGGGGCTGCCCAGCCGATGTCTGATGGAGACAAGCGCTGTCTGTGTTCCTCTGTAGATTACAGCGTAATGACCCTGTAATAAATTTAGTCTGCGTCACTCCCTTCACCTGCCTCCTCTCCTTCCCTGTTGAGACCAAAGCCTCTTCTAAGGCATGGAGGTCCAGCCTCTGGCCTCATGGATATTAGGGTCCACTGAGCTGGAAGACCTTAAGAAGCCATCTCGTCCTCCAATTTTGCAGACGAGGAGATCGAGACCTAGAGAGTTTGTGACTTAGGATAATAGATTTAGAACTGGAGGAAAGCTCAGAGATGATCCAGTCCAACCCTCTCATTTTACAGATGAGGAAATCGAGGTCCAAAGATGTTAAGTGATTTTCTCAGGATTGTGTAGATAGTAACTGTCAGAGGTGAGATTTGAACCCAGGTCTTCTGACCCTACAGCTAAGGTTTTTTCTTCTGTACCAAGCTGCCTCCCAAATGGTCATTTGGACCGAGATGAGCTTGACCACGTTTCTCTTCATCTTTGTACCCAGCCTAATGGGATGGCTCAGAGGCTGGTAACGACTGCCCTTTGGCTGGGCTGTGGAACAGTTTGCCTTGAGAGGTAGCAAGGCTTCCCTCCCTGGAGGTATTCAAACAAAGCTTTCAGAGTGTTTGTCAGGCATGTCCAGGATGGGATTTCCGGAGGGCTTGGGCATCCCTCCCAGCTCTCAGGGTTAGGGTCTGAGGATTGAGGCGGGACTAGGAGAAGTTGGGCCAGAGGGCAGCGCCCTTCTTAGAGAAGCCCCAAAATCTTTCACCAGTGGCAGGCTGCCGGGTGGCTTTCTTGGCTTACTCTTTGTGAGGCTTTGCTCTTTTCCAACCCTCAATGGAGGCAAAGCATGGGTTTGGAGCCAGGAAGCTTTGGGTCTGAGCTGCAGCCTCAGCAGTTACTAGCTGTGTGAACGTGAAACATCTCAGATCCTCAGTTTTCTCATCTGTAAAATGGGAATCCTAACACGTTCTCAGCTTATCTCAGGGAAGTTTTTTTCTTTTGGCCGGACTTCTGATTTCACTGGGTCGGGAGCTCCCAGGGAGGAAGCCAATACATGTGTGCATCTGGTCTGTGACTGAGAGTCTTCTGACATTGAGAGGTTCAGCGACCAGCGTGGGGCTATGCGGCCAGTGTAGGTGAGAGGTGAGCCTTGCCGCTGGGTTCTCCTGACTCCTGGGCTGGCTCTTGAGCCCCGCTGCTGCTAACAAGGTCTTTAGTGCTAGAGGACACTCAGTTGGTTTTAGAAATGCCAGGAGTATGACCAGCTTCTACAAGAAGACCTGTGCTCAGAGTTAAAGCAGAGTTGGCCAGAGTGCTGGCAGGCTGGAGATCTTCATGGTGTAGCTGTTCTCTCCACCAGTGCAGATTGCAGCCCATCCCTGGAGCATCTTCTTCATACCCTCACATGACTGTGATGTTTCAAAGGTCTCCCCCACCCCGCAGCGTGCTCAGGTGCCCTTTTCTGCTGGTTGTGCTGGTGACGTTCAAAGCCTCCTGGTGGGCTGGGGCGCGCGCAGCCTAGCACTTTTCTCCATCAGGCCAGAGGAGAGCGCTGACCTGGGCTGGGCCCATGCCGGCCGCCGTGACTTCCATTGTTCTCAGCCTTCTCCAGAGGTGCCTCAGTCATAAGGGAGAACTTGCATCTGGCACAACGATCAATCTTCCAACGAGCATTTGTTAGGTCCTTCCTATGGACCAGGTACTGGAGAGACAGAGACAAAGCAACAACATTGTCCCTGCCCTCAGGGAGCTTACGTTCTAATCGAGGAGACAAGTATATGCAGCTGGTCCGGATGAGATCTCCACCTGTAACTGAAAGTCTCAGAGATGGGAATGTGTGTGGGGAGCGGTAGGCAGGCCACTAGGGCTGAGGAGGGGGAGAGTGTGGGAGAAGAATGGAAAGGAAGGAAGGGGCTGGGTTGTGAGTGGCTTTACACACTGGACAAAGAGGATGTTCTTTGTTGGAGAGGTAATGGGGAACCGCTGGGGATGGTGGAAGGAGCAGCTGATGAGGCCGAGCCTGTTGTTCAGGAAAATCACTCGGGCAGCTGTGTGGTGGGAGGGTTGGCTTGGGGAGAGGCTGGAGGCAGGGAGGCCAGTTAGGAGGTTAGAGATGATAGGGGCTTGGGCTGAGGTTCTCACTGTAAGAATGGGGGGGCGGGGTGGAGGAGAGATTCTGGGACAGCAGAGACAACAGGACCAGGTGACAGGTTGGATATGGAGGCTTGTGTGAGTGCGAATGACGACCCAAGGGTGACACTGAGGTTGAGGGCAGCGGTGACTGGGAGGATGGTGCTCAAGCTTGTCCCTCCTCAGGGACGTAGTAGGTGCTTAATAAAGGCATGATTATTGGACTAAGTTAAGAAACCAGAGTCAGCTAGGTGGTGTAGTGGATAGAGCACCAGTCCGGAAGTCAGGAAGACTTGAGTTCGATTCTAGCCTCAGACTCTTAGTAGTTGTGCGACCCTGGTCCAGTCACTTAACACTGTTTACCTCAGTTTCCTCATCTGTAAAATGGGGTCGCTGGAGAAGGAAATGGCAAACCACTGCAGTATCTTTACCAAGAAAACCCCAAATGGGGTCACAAAGAGTCAGACATGATTGAAAACAACTGAACAGCAAAGTAAAGACAAGAGGGACGGGGAAGGAACAGCCCACTGTATTAAGTTTCTTTCGGGTCCCTTCCCCATCTTCTGTCAACTGGTTTCTTTTAGGCTTGTAGCTTGATTTCCTTTAGAGGCTCTGGTTTCCTTTAGACAAGCTGTCCTCAAACTTTTTAGCCTCTGGTCTAGTTTACATTCTTAAAAGTTATTGAAGACCCCGCAAAGAGTTTTTGTTTATGTGGGTTATCTCTTGACATCTACCATATTGCAAATTAAAACATCTCAGTATTATTCTGAAAATAGTTTTGACCTTGTGGAACCCCAAGGGTCCCTGGGCTACTTTTTGAGAACTGCTGCTTAGACCATGGGCCTGGGGGTTGGACTCATTGGCTTCTAAAGCCCCCTTCAGCTTAAAAGTCTCTGATTCTGTGGTGTTAAGAGATCTGCTTCCCCAAGGGCCAAGGCCTGGGGACATAGAGAGACTTCTCTGAGGGCAAGAGGGAAGGAACTCACCTTGTGTGTGAACACTCCCACCTGGTAACTTCCTGCTCACCAGGCACTGAGTTTGGTTGTTTCCCTGCTTCAGGGCCATTCCGTTTTGGTGGCCGGGAAAAAGGCCCAGCTGCCCAGCCCTAGTTGTAGCTCTGTTGGAGCTTCATTTGGATTCTTGAGTGGGATGTCCCGCGTTATCTACAGGAGCTTCATTCCTCATGGAGATTCTAGTCCAGTGTTATTCAGTGATCTGGTTTGGGGGTGGGGATGTGGAAGGGGCTCGGGTAGCCTGGGAGTGCAGCTGGAACGTTTCAAGTTATTCTCGTAATGGAAGCAAAAGCTTCTGGGAGCTGTGGAGGCAGGAGCTGTGGCTCTAATCAGGGCATTCTTGCAGGAATTCCCCCTTATGTATATACGGTTAGACCCAATAAAATGGAACCAGGAACTTAATTGGTGAGATTTTAAATGATCCCACAACATCTGGTGGTTCATTTATGACTCTGGCCATATGTGTCTCATTAGCACATCAGCCTGTCCCTCTCATTGTGAAGTTAATCATTAAATTATTAAGGACAGGCCTTTCCAAATCACAGAGAAGAGTATTTACAGACCACCTCTCCTCTTGCTGTGTTCAGGCCCAAGTTGACCCTATCTGTTTAAGGATGGCTGGTTGGGGAGAGCCTGACCCTTTTTTTGTTGACCCACAGGGCCAGACCCGTCATCACAGTGGACGTCTCCATCTTCCTCCCAGCCTCCATCAACATCACGGCGCCCCAGTGCTATGATGGCCAGCAGCCGGTGAACTGCCTCAATGTCACTGCCTGCTTCCGTTTCCGAGGCAGGCATGTGCCAGGAGAAATCGGTAAGGGGCGTGCTCCATCCCGGGAAGGTCCACTCACATTAGTGACATTGACTGAGTGTTCTGATGCGCCAGGGTTGTGTGAGGTGCAGGGCAGAGGTGGGGTGCATGGGTACAAAGACAAGTCTGAAACGATCCCTGCCCTCAGGGTGCTTACATTCTCCTGGGGAAAATGCCGCCTCCCTAGCTCCTGTGCCTTAGCTCAAGTATTGCATTTCAGCTTTGTGGGCCCATGGAGTACAGGACTGTAGGTGGTCTGTGGAATTGTACCAAGCTATGAAGGATCTGACGGTAATAATCATAACTGACATTTAGAGAACATGCTAACGCTTGCAAAATGTTTTGTTTGTTGTCTCATTTGAGCCTTGTGAGAACTCTGAGAACGGTGTACTACAGGTATTTTTTATCTCCATTTTATAGATGAGGAAACTGAGGCCCAGAGAGACTAAATGACTGGATTAAGGTCATGTACCAAGTGATTGTTGGAGGTGGGATTTGAACCCAGGAACTCTATCCAAGATGCGTTTTTCTTTGTCACTTGTGGGAGTTTTTTCAGTTAGCAGATAAAGTCTTTCTTTAGACCGTGACTTTTTTTTCTCTTTTTCCTTCTCTCGTAGTTATATTATTTTAGTTTATGTTGAAGGAAGAAGACGTTTTTAGTCCAGTGAAGAGCCAGCTCAAGGGGGACATGAGAGCTGTCTTCTCTAAGGGTGATCACATGGAAGAGAGATGGCTTCTTCTTCTGCTTGGCCCCCAAAGATAGAATGGCCTCCAATTTAGGATTGGAGTCAGGAAAAGGAAAACTTCCTAAAAATCAGAGTTGTCCCAGAGTGCAATGGGATACTTTAGGAGGTCACAACTTCTCCCCACTGGAGGTCATGAAGCAAAGGTTGGATGACCACTGTGGCTTGTGGGAGACATGTTTTGGGGGGCATAGGTTGGAATTCTGGGGCAGGATGATACATGTTTCTATTATTCTTTGTCTCTTTTTACACTTATATGTGTCTCTATTTTTTTTCTGTTTCTGTCTCTGACTCTCTTTTATCCATCAGTTCACCCGTCTACCCATCCATCCACCCATCCATCCATCCACCCACCCCTTCACTCCTCCACCCCTTCACCCCTTCACTCCTCCACCCCTTCACTCCTCCACCCACCCATCCATCCATCCATCTATCCACCCCTCCAAAAACAAGGACTCTTTCCTCAAGCGTACAAGGAGCGAGCAGACCCCATACTGTAACAGATGTTTGGAGTGTGTGTTCGTCTCCTAGAAATGCTGTAACTTGAGCCTGGGAGCGGGGATGGCTCAGACAAAGGGACAGCCCATTGCCTGCTGCATGTGCTCTCTCATTGAGCAGGGGGAGAGAAGCAAATTCTTGGCAAGCCTGACATGTTTCATTCGAGGAGGGGAGACAAAGGTTGGAGGTAGAGTAGAGGCCACGTGTTTTCACCAAGGATTCAGCAGCCCCCAGAGGGATGCTGATTTTGGAGTGTTAAATAGTTTAAAAGGTGCCAATATCTTAGGAGCCAGTGGGGCTAGTCCCCTCCATTTCTCTGAGCCAGGAGAGTTTGTTTACTCTTGCACCATAAGGGACTGGATTAATCCCCTAGAAAAAGATACAAGCAGTGTGGATTAAAATTGTGCGCATGATAACTTTTTATTAGTAGCAGCAGGGAAACAAAGCCAGAACATCTGTGCATTTCAATGAATGCAGGGGCAACCAATGTAGAAGTCTTTTCTTTTCCTTTTTTATTTGAAAGAAGGAGCAGAGAGGATACATCGAAGAAAATAGAAGAGATTGATGCAGGTTTGGAACACACCTGGATTTACTTAGCTATTTCTAGATTAAAAAAAAAAAAAGCCGTGTTTTCAGTGACTTTGCTATTTCCTCACACACAGAAACTCTCTGCCTCACTGTTCCTGAAACCTTGGATCTCTTTTTCTGTCTTTCCCCCACACACTCTTTGGTTTGTCATTATATTTTCTATTTCATCTGAAAGAATAAGAACATATCTATGTAATACTTGAGGTTTTACCAAATACTTAATTTTATTGAAAATACAGTTTATTGGGGCAGCTAGGTGGCACAGTAGATAGAGTTCTGGCCTTGGAGTCAGGAGGACCTGAGTTCAAATCCAGCCTCAGACGCATGACATTTACTATCTGTGTGACCCTGGGCAAGTCACTTAACCCCGATTGCTTTATCAAAAAAAAAAAAACAGTTTATTGATGTTCTTTTTTTTTTTTTGCAAGACAATTGGGGTTAAGTGACCTGACCAGGGTCACACATCTAGTAAGTACTTTTTTTTTTTTAAACACCAGTATTTCCCAATGCCTGCCCCCCAGCCTCTAAAAACCTTTTCTTCTGATATATAGCCAAGGGGAACAAATCAACATGTTGCCCAGGTCTGAAAACGTGCCTCCTTGCACTCCATCTCTTTGCCAAGTGGCACCAAATATGCTTCTCCATCAGGTCCTCTGAAGTCCTAGCGGGCTGCCGCTTCGTCAGCATCCAGAAACCCTCCATGTTGCTTTCCTTCATATTATGGTGGTTATTATATAGACGTTTCTCCATCATCTGCTTCCTTCATCTGTTAGCATTTATTTAATTAACAAGCATGTATTAAATGCTTCCTGTGTGCCAGAAAGGCCATACCATGGGCCCTGCCCTCAAGGGGCTCACAGTCTAATGGAAGTAGCTCAGTACTGCGATATCTGCAGAGCACGTGGAAGGCAGTCTGAGAGAGGAAGGCTCGGGGTAAGAGTGTGGGGAGACCAGGCAAGGCCTCCCGCAGAAGGTGGAATTTGGGCTGAGCCTTTAAGGAATCCCAGAAAGCAACGAGGCAGAGGTGAGGAGAGACAACTTTCCAGAGATGGGGGACGGCCAGTGAAAGGGCAGTTGGGCGATGGCGTGCTGTGGGCATGGAACAGGACGTAAGCGGAGGAGTTGGGTCTTGGAGTGGGTGTAGAAAGGACGAAAGTAGAACAAGACTGCTTGGATAGCAAGGGCCAGGCTGGGAAGGGCTTTGAATGCCCCGCCTGAGTTTGTAGCTGACGCTGGGCATCACAGGGAGATATTTATTGAGGACACGGCCGCTCTCTGCTGTAGGAGAATTGCCTGCAGCATCTGTGTGGAAGACAGACCAGCGTGGGGAGGAGCATGAGACAGGGACACTAGTTGGGGGCTATTGCAGTGGAGTACTAGGCTCAGAATCAGGAGAACCTGAGTTCAGATCCTGACTCTGATACGTTCTGGTTGTGAGACCGTAGGTAGGTGACAACCTCTCTGACCTCAGTTTCACCATCTGGAAAATGGCAATAACACCTACTTTACTCCTGAAGCTACTGCCTCTCTGTAGCAGCCATTCCAGCTCTAAGTGTATGAACCGTGTACAGAGAACATCAGCCTGGCTAAGTACCTGGATAACATCGGACGTGAGCCTAGTTCTGAGCGTTGAAAGTGCAGCGACTCACAAGGAATCCTTCAGACTTACACGCTGTGCATGGCCTCTGGCTTTATCCCTCCCCTCAGGCTTTCAGAGACTTAGGAAAAGGAGAGACAAAGTCCTCGTCTGAAAATGGGAAGTAGGGTACAGAGTTGGGGACTTGAGGAGAGAGGAAAAGAACGAGAATGAAAAACAGACATTGCTACAGGCTTCGGGCTTGCAAAGCTCTTCCCCACCTTCTTGTTGGATAGCTAATAGCTAGCAAGCATGCATATGGTGCTTGAAGATTTGCAAAGCATTTAACAGATATCTCATTTTGTCTTCCCAATAACCCTGGGAGGGAGGCGATATTATCATTCCCATTTTATAGCTAAGGAAACTGAGGCAGACAGAAGTTAAGTGATGTCACTAAGAGTGTGTCTGAGATGAGATTTGAACTCAGGCCTTCCTGACCTCAGGTCCAGCTATCCGCTGTATCCCGCTGACCCCCCACTTTTGAACAGTCATATGAGGTAGGTGCTATAGGCATTATCACCCCCATTTTATAGTTGAGGATGCTCGAGCTCTGAGTGAGTCACACAAGTAGTAAGTGTGAGAGGCGGAATCCAAACCTGGGTCTTGGCCAACTTTGGGTCTAGAATTATAGGGCGGTGAAAAAAACGTTGGGCTTGGAGTCAGAGAAGCTGGGTTCAAATCCTGACTGCACTGTTTCCTTCTTACTGAGTGACCTTGGGAAAAGCCTCTCTCCTGTCAGGTGCCCAGTTTCCTCAGCTAGAAATGACGGGGCTGTCCCAGATAAACAGTGTTCAGTCTGGTGCCCTGTGCAAACATTTCCTTTCTACTACACAGTGTAGGACAGCTCTGGTGAGTGATGGGAGGTGAGTAGTAGGAACACTAAACCGCTTGAGTTGTATGGCATGCACAAAAGTGTAAATCTATGCAGGGACCATTCGTGGGATCTCAGGGCTCGCTCCCACTCCATTCCAAATCCTAGTGAAGAAGAAGGATGAGAACCCGGAGGCTCCTGGTGGAAAGTGGACTAGGAGAGTGCAGGGGCTCTGGCGTCCTTTGAGTTCACCCAGACGGCCAAGATTCATTCTCATTTTGTACCTTGATTTAAAAAAAAATCTGATCCTGGGATTCCATTAAGATGTGGAACTTCCAGTGTGAAAAGCCTCTCCGCTGATGTGGATTGACCACTCATCACTGAGTTGGAGTCTTGGGAAGTTGGGGCAGAAGGAGGGATTGGTATGTGTCAGAAGTAGGACCTGAGCCCAATTCTCCTCTCCTCTTAACTCTCCTGCCTCTTGTGGACCGTAGAATTCATCTTTTAATGCGTATGATTAGTTTGGCCCAAAGGAAACTCTTCATCATTTTTTCAGCCCTGCGAGACGAGGGGCTTAGCCTGCCTTTGTCTTTTCCCACCAAGTGCCCGGTGGCACCTTGAACCTATTTCTGGGGTGTCCATTGATTCTTGTCACCAGCGAAAGTTCCAGACAGATACTTCTAGTCGGAGCGGTTGTGTCTGGTTGGAACAGTCTGTGGGAGTCTGG